TCCTTTTAATGCACCCCAAGATAAAAATAGAATTATAAAAGGGTGCAACATAATGGTCTTCTTTTATATAAGATAAATCCCAGGAACTCATTTGTATGCATTATATGGGCATAATATATGAATGTATAACTCTGCTATATTTTTAAAATTTCATTTCTGTAATATTTCTTTTAATACATTACACTGATTCTTATAGCAACACTCAATTGCTTCTTATTCATCCAGAACTTCTCTTTGTCTATGTGCCAGTTACTTTGAGTAGTGACCTTCTCATCTTATATGCTGGGAAAGTGCTTTGAATATTGCAGGGACTACTATCAACAAATAAGTATGTTATGTACATGTTCACAAACAATTTGCTACAGGCTAGGAAAATCTGAAATAAAACCACAGTGACAATAGTAGAACTATAAGCCTTACATTCCTGACATAGCAATAGTGGTTTTTTATTATTACTGAAGGACAAATAACATAGGATATTTTAACTAATATTGGAAGAAAGAAAGACATTTGAGAACACAGATCAACTGATCAATGGTCACTGACGTACTAAGGCCCTGATCCAACAAAGTGCTTGTGAGCAAATGCAACTTTAAACATGTCTGTGGGACTTAAAGTTGAGCAGATGCTTACATGCTGAGCTGAATCATGGCCAAAACTGTTGCCCCTGACTTGATATTATCCTATACTTCGTCTCATAGTAATATGAAAGTGGACAATTCAAACCAAAATACCCATATCTCTCTTTGCATTGTAATGTGCTGACATTTTCATGAATTTCACCGGACTAGTGTATGTTTCCAATGTGTTAGTAGAGATCATGCAGTAATGTTCTTGCTGTTCTCGTTGAACGCATTTATCACTGGTGCTACCTACCATTTGCAATGCTAATTTTGATGAATGGAATGCCTCATTTGAAGAAAGGAAAGAAATAAAATACACAAAATAACTTCCAGAGCTCACAATATGGCTCTTTTGCATGACTGTAGATTGCTTGGTTTTGAGAGACAGGGGTCAGATCAAGGGATGGAAGGAAACTAAAAGCACAAGGGCAGCACAAAGGCCTGAATTTTGCTCCCATTTCAACTGAAAGGAGGATGTGTGTGTTGTTCCCCCCTCCTCCCCCGCCCCCCTCTCCAGTTGATTTCAGTGGTGGAAAGAATTGGGCTATAAAGGACTTACAGCAAAAATTAAAATAGCCTCTCCATTTAGAAACATCTCCTTGAAACTTTGTGGCCTTCTCCTCCACCAGTGATGTTTCCTGTACATAAAGGTGCTCGGTATTTTGCATGAATGGGTTTAGAGTTGTCCATTGCTAAATTTGTTCTTTCCATTTTGTCCGTTCCCAACAAGTCTATGCTGCTTTTACTCTGAACGTCGTATTTATTGGAAGACATAGTGATGACAAATAAGAAGATAACATCACATCCTAAAGTAGAAATGTATATGATTGCATTGAAGAATATATTCGACCTGTAGGCGGAGGTGGGGGGCAGTAACTGAGCCATGAATACTAGGTGCTGACTAAGGAAGTGAAAAAATAGCAGTTGCTGCCCTGTGGCATTGATCACTCCTGCTGCCAAACTGCAGATGTGGAACCAGATCCTACAAACAGTTCTCCATGTGGGTAATCTTTTATCTTGAGAGAGTGGGTCTATTTTCAGAAGTAAGGTCAAATCCATAGAGCGTGGATCCAGTCCTACAAGAGCATACATGTTTAAAAGGGCCTTACTGGTAGGGATAGTCCTGCTAACACCCTTCCACTGGCACCACTCACACAGGACCTTGTTTTGACACTCAGCTGACTTCAGAGGGAATACCCAGTGCTCAACATTGTGTGTAACAAGCACACAATCTGCCACTCTTACTCACTTTGAGTTGAGTACTACGCTGCTTTGATATGTGGGCTTTTCACGGGAGAAAGTATTGGTCACAGTACCTGGTCCATAAGAACTACTGAAATGAGAAAAACTACCTCTATGAGCAAGGATCTCTCAAATCAACTGTTTTAACACATGAAAAGCATAGGCATTGCTGTCTTCTCTGGTCTTGCTCCCTGTCTGTAGAGACCTTCAAGAAGTGACCAGTGGTGAGAACAAAGTCTCCATAGATGAACTGGTGTTGTCTTTTGTCATGGGAGTTGATGCAGCACAGGGCCAGTACTAGGCTAGACATAGCCCTAGTTATTGTCATTACTATTTTATGTAAAAGAGAATATAAATAGGCCTTCTGTTGCTGATCTCTGCTTCTTCTCAGTTTCATTTCAATATATTAGCTAAAAATGAGTCGGAAGGAATAAGCTAAAAATGTGTGCGAGAGGCACATAGGCAGAACCTATCATCTTACACTGTGTTGTACATGTACTTTCTTTTCTCTTTTCTTCAACCCTCCCTTGTTTTATTGTCACTCGTTTTTCCCTTCCGTCTGGTTTAGAGTCTGGTCTTTAGTCCCACTGTCCCCAGTGGGAATATTCACGTGAGCAAGAGCTGCAACGCTGGGTTGTAGGATTGCAAACCCTTTGAGATGAGGACCCATCTTTGTCTGGAAGGCACCGCACCGCTCTATGTTGCTGTAATAATGAATAATTAATATCATGAAATAATTATATGCAACAGATTTTACCTCCTTCTAATTTGCAACTTGTTTTCAAGGTTCCTAAAAATTGAATTTGGCTTCTGCAGTTTCTTAAAGCAAAAGGCCATTTTTTTTACCCTATACCTGTTCATCTCTGCACTGCTTTTAATAGGATCTCTCTGCATATTAATGGTATTTTTAAATATTTAAGACTGCAAATATTTACCCTTATATAGTAATGAGAAGGTTTTCAATAAACTCAGATGAGAGGATGAAAGCCAAGGTGGGACCAACATGTTTTTGTATTAAAGGAGCAATTATTTATTCAGTGTAAATTACTTGTGCACATATGGGTTTAACTGAACAGAGAAAGAGAAATATTAATATTTCATTAATTTCAGTAGTTCTATTGTTTGTAAAATATGCAAATAAATTGTCTTCTAGATTGAAATATGTATCTATAGCCATCATTTTCCTCTACATATGCATATATATGCCTGTGTATGTGCGTATGTCAGTATGGATAAAGGTATCAGATAAAAGAAGGCACCAGATTTTTATCACTTTTTACAAACACATATGGCAAACCAGACATTTTTAAAATGCTCACACAAAACTGTGCATTGACTTCTATGAAAGTGGGCCTGGAAGGTGCACAGACTCCACCTCATGCATGTGGCATCTAACTTCTCTACCTGAACATCCCTGTGCATGCTTAAATCAGGGATGTGGAAACTTCAGAGCTTGCACCCCACAACCGAGGGATATAAAAGTTGATACTCCTATATTTTACCAGGAAAGCAGAGGCTAAGGTTCCAATTAAGAAAAAAAAATGTGCATTCAGGAAAATAAGCCTGCACTTAAGAGCTTCTCTAATTAAGTTCTTAGCTAAGTGAGGTTTCTGTTTTAAAACATTGTATTATAAATGTATATAGTCAAATGTGCTTCCCCACCTTTGGTTACAGTGTAAGGGCTGCTAATACCAATGACGTTAGGCTGAATTCTGTCTTAATTTAGCGTGCTTTACTGACTTTAATAAGCCTAATCATAGGTTATGTTCTTTCATCTGTGCCATAGTTGGATATCGCCTTACTAGACGCTTAGTCCTTCCTATTTAAAGTGTTACTCAGTGTGAACATAGGTAGCAGTGTTTGGCTTTACAGTGAGTAGGAATCAGACTATCATATTCACCTTGGAAAAATAAGACGATAAATAAAGAAAAATAAGGCCAGGTCTATGGATGCAAAGATACCAGAAGGAAGAGAGCATTGACTGGACATATATGACAAATTCTTTCACTTTTCCATGAATATTGAGCAAAAATAGATTAATTCTACTCCATTATGGGCTTTGTCATTCTTTTATGTGAGTTTCTTCCAATAATGGATTAAGTGATTTTATGACTATCTATCTGGGTGTGAGGTATTTTTTTCTTTTATCATCTATGGATGAGAGAAACTTTTTGTGTAGTGGTTGTCTTTGTGTAAAGTTTTTGGTTGCTTGTTCCTAAATGCATGCTCTGTGCTTATGGGGGGCCGAAGGAAGCCAAGCTGCAGATGGAACAGAAGGTAGCAGTGTTTATGCTGGGTCTTCATTTTTATAGGAATTCACTCAGCAGTCTTGGACTAGTTCCTAAACAAGCTGGATCTGAACAGATGAACGATACAGGACAAGGTTATTGGCCATGAGTTCCATCCCTTGGCTTTTGGCGATCTTGTAGAGATTCTGGGACCTGGCCAAAGAGTTGGTCGTTTCAATAAATAACTAGGGCCGGAACTGATCTGATTTAAGGCAATATAATTCACTGGATCTCTGGCGATTTACACCAGCTCAAAATTTGGCTTGATGGTAGGAGGACTGCATGAGGGTTCAGAAACCTAAGAAACCACACAGGGGACATGAGCACAATTATTATTACATAGTCAATTCTCCTGAACTAAAATAGGTCACTGTTGCTTCTCAATGATCTCACACAGTCATTGGGAACGTTAAGATGCATATTTATAGCAGTCAAGGTAATTAGCCATCAGGAAAGATTCCCAAGGGATGTCATACATTTTCCATCATTCAGGGTTTTGAAATCATGCTTGGGTATCTTGCTATAACCTAACGATAAGTTGTGCTCATACTAGATGCAGGAGTCATTGGGTGACTTTCTATGTTCTGCATTATACAGCAATTCAGACTATCTAGTCATAATGTCTCATTTGCCCTTGAAAACCTCTGTCCGTAGCTTTGATTCATTTTTCATTCCTATTAAATGTCAAATCTAGTCGTTGCTCTGTAAACCTTTGGAGCAATATTTTCTTTTAAACAAAAATAGAGTTGAATTTACTACTAATACCTGTCTTTGCCAAAGTACAGACGAACATTTCAGGAAGTGGTCCACTGACTTCTTCCACTAATATGTGTCTTCTGTTTTATAGGTGGCACCTGTGTTGTTAACCCCACTGATCTGTTCTGCTCTGTGCCCGGTCGCTTATCTCTGCTCAGCTCAACCTCTAAATACAAAGTGACCATCGCAGAGGTGAAGAGACGACTGTCTCCACCTGAATGCCTCAATGCTTCCCTCTTGGGAGGTATTTTGAGAAGGTAAGTGGAGGTCAAATGTGGCAGCGTCAAGAAAGTACAGTCACTGCTTTCCCAGTGGATTTTTTTCCAGCATCAACTTTGCTTCTGCTGCTGTGATAGTTGGTCACATCTACAACTGGTAGAAAAATAGAAGTAGGGAGGGCTTCTATGAGGAGTTTCAACAAAAAACTAAAACGTTTTCCTGTAGAAATTTTCCACAGAGAATTTTGACGTATCATTGAGAAAATGAAAATTAAGAAGCCTTTTTTGTTGTTGTTTTTCAGGTTTTAGACTTGTATTGTTTAGTAAAAAGTTGAAATGTTCCCCAGAAAGCAGATATACCCTCAGCTTTGGGTTGAGAACCAATTTTGATGGACATTTTCCCACTAGCTCTTGGACTTGCAAAAGGCTTCTTTACTGTCAGGTTTGGTGCTGCTCAATTCTTTACCCCAGCCAGGATAAAGCAAGGAGGGGCAAACAGTGGGGCAGTGAGGGAGGAGACAAGGGAGTCTTGGCTTTCCTGAGCCCACTCAGCAGCCAGAGCAAAAGTCTGGGAGCTCCACAGAAAGGAGGCTGGTATAGGCATAGGCAAGCTTTGGGGTATCACAGTACCCATCCTCAGGCCTCTGCTACCAACCAGAGTATTGGTCCAAAAAAGATATCACCCACAATTCATATCTCCTGGCAACAACATCCTCTTAATACCAAAGAAAGGAGGGAACTAGCAGGCTTCATCTCACACAGCAAGCAGGAGAGGACTGCGGCTTGGATGGGTGTCTGCTAGCCACAGGAATACCTGGGGCAGCTGCGTAGATGGTGCAGAGCAGGTAATGCCCTTTGCTTTGAGTTGTACCAGAAGTTGCAGCCTATCTCACTGAGGTCACTTAAGGCCAGTGTCTGACATCCATACTAATGCTGAAGATCATTTTACTACCCAAGAAGTAGGACTGTGGTTGGAGAGCACTTACCATGTTTCGTTACATCTCCAGTGGTGGGAGTTTATGCTCTCTTGCTCAGTCAACCCAGCTGTAAATGTGGAACACATCATTTGGGTTAGGGAATCAAAGGCAGCCAGATGCAATCCCTTGTGTTGTATCAGCTACAGAAATGTGTGTGTCTTAATCAAGGTGGCTCAGTAGATCCTTACGTGTAGGTAAACCTAAGACCTTTCATTTTTGGGCTCCAAGTGCATCTATACATGTGTTAAGGGTATCTATAGATGTGCTCTGGGAGACAGGGGGGTGGGCACTTTAGTTAGTGAGCCATGTTAATTAAAAGCACCATGCTGAGAAATGATGGTGGGGCACTTTGAACTAAAACTCCTTGAATGAGTTTCAGTTTAAAGCTCCCTGTCGCCATTTTTCAGTGCAGGGACACTGATGCACATAACGCTGGAGGCTGCACGAGCCTGTTACTTTCCCTGCAGACTTGAGTAATCGGCAGACTCGGATGTGCTGTAAATCCAGCGTGTTGGAGCAGACTCGCTTAACTGAGTCTGCTCCGACATGCTGCGTTTCCAGCACGTCGGAGAAGTCTCGCTGCACATCGATAGGCATCCTAATTAGTACTTTACTGGGAGTCATGGGCTAAGGTCTAGATCCACAAAGGATTTAGATTACTGGCTCCCACCAAACCACCTTCATCATGTGACTAAAGCCGAAATGTAGATCCTCAAAAAGTGACTTAACTGCTGCCAAATTTTGAAGGCCTCTAAAATCAGCTGGAACCAAAGTCTTTTTTTTTTTTGCCAGAAAAGGTCCCCAAGTATCTAAAGATCCACCTACAATGGCTTGAGTCCTGACACTGAGTGTCCAGGACACTAAGCTGTCCCCACCTCCTTCCCCCAACCCCAAGCTCCACAAACTCTACCCTTCTGGTCTCCCCCCTAGTGAGTTTATAGACGGTCACCAGGTCCCCCCTCAGCCTTCTCTTGTGAAGGCTGAACAGGTTCAGGTCCTGCAGTCTCTCATTGT